CCTGCCTCCAAAAACACAATTCAACCCTCAGTGTTATCTCTGGATATCCATCACTCTGGTTGTCAGATACTCATGTGTAAAGGTGATAAAGCAATCCTGAGCGAAAAGAAATTTCCTGCAGAGATCTATAACTTAATAAATAAGGGCAGTAGTTGCAGGGGAAAAATCTATTTCATAGATTAAAATCAAGAAGACAAGGAATTTCTGTTGAGAGGGAACTGGAGACCAGCCACCAGCAAGATAAATGATAGCACAGCAATTAGCGAGGTGTGAGCGCTTCCCTGAGGCACAAACAGAATGTGATGCTTGCATCGGAAGACCTGGGCATCTGCAGACAGATCCTTCAAGGAAGATGAGTAAACACTCTTAGAAGAAGCTCATATTTCTTGAACATTTGCTAAGCTCCAGACCCCTATGTGCATCTGTTATTTGTTTACTTATTTGTGGTGCTCTAACTTCATTCTAGGGCCGCACACTCAGCACGTGAGTGCTAAAAGACTTAGCACCATTCCAGCCCATTCATTTGCTGTATGTATGTAGTTAGTTAGTTAGTTAGTTAGTTAGTTAGTTAGTTAGTTAGTTAATTAATTGAGACAGGGTCTTGCTATATAACCCAGGCTGTTTTTGAACTTGTGATCCTCTTGCCTCAGCCTTCTGATTGCTGGGATTACAGGAATGTGCCCCAATGCCCAATCTAATTCACTTAACCTCCTCATAATATAATTACATCGTGTGACAGGAGCCACAAACATTATTCCAGGCCCCCTCTGCTGTTTCAGGACCCCAGACCAAGACTTGGCTCTTGGCTGTAATCCAGGCTCAGACACTACCCTGAACTCCGGTGGCTAAAAGACCATTCATGTCAGCCTGTTCCTTGGCACCCTCACCTCTTCAGATCTGCCTCTCTCCCCAGTCCATGAACCCCTACACCTCTCTCTCTCTCTCTCTCTCTTTGACCTCCCCACCCTGTACTTACTTGCCACAATGGTGCCTGACCACCCAGCACCAGAGGCACCGGGCTCCTAGTTGGTGCTGAACTATTGCTGGAGACCTCTTGCAGGCTGGGGCTAGAAACCCCAGGCTGCCTAGTGTACTATTCTTAAAACATTACCTAGAATGTGAATTAAGCTTAGGTGAGAAATAATACTGTTTATATACTGTTGACAAGAGCACTTACTAGGGATTAAGAAAAAAAATGTATTGCTCCCACCTTATCATCTTTTAATAACAAATATTGGTGAAATATCTAACAAAAGGCACTCATCGGGGCTAGGTAGGAGGAATTCAAGCAGGTGATAAAAAGCCTTGAAATGGAACTGGAAAAATCTGAAAAATAGATACATGGAGATGTGAGCAGTTGAGAAGACAGTCTAATACATAGTGTCTGAGACACTGTGGTGGAAAGGTGAGCTTTTTTAGGTCCAAAGATACTTCCTTAAGTAGCTGAGTTACAAATTGAAGACAGAGGAAGAGGTGGGCTCACCCCTCCATCTGTCTGACATTTTTTTCTGCCTTGTCTGTGTGAGCTTCAGCGGGACTGGAAATGGCTGGTGGGAATGCTGGGCAGGACACTAGAAAGGCCCAAACAGCAGCAATTTCTTACTTGCAGAGCAGTGCTGGCTTATAGTTCCTCCCGGGCTATATGCACGGGAACTGAGAGTCAAGTCAAGTAGCCACAGAACCGTGGGAAGGACGGCCACTGTGTGTAGCGTGATGGTTCTGGAGAGCTTCATGCAGCCATGCTGGAAGAGGCAGGAAATGCACCAGAAGACCTGAAGGTGTGCATTGTCCTTGTCATGTGCTAGCCATAGAGACAGACACTTGACTCTCACCTGTAACAAATGGTGGGACTCACCCCACACAAGTGCGTGTCTCTGGCTGGGAAGAAAGACTAACAGAAGACTGACAGGTGACACCTGGATTGCTAAATCTCAGCTCCAGCTATTCCAGCGTCCTCTGCTCAGTGCTGATGATTCCAGAGCACTGTATTGTTGCAAGATATTTGGTCACATTGTAAACCCCGGATTGTGTCATTTACTGGGAAAACCTGCTTCTAGCTGTGGTATGGCTCAGCCCTAGCACACGCCTGCCCTTAATCCCAGAGCTTTCTGCTTGAATATTGCAAACAGGATTAAATAAAGTCAACCATAGGTCAATTGGCAGAGTAAGTGTCAACTAGAGTAAACTAGTTGACAGGAAGTGAACACAGGGGAAAAAAAAACAGAGTAAGAGGGAGTCAGGAAGACAGATGAGAGGCACAGGTAAAAGAAGGAGGGACTTTTGAGTATGAGGCGTATTTGAGATGGTCTAGGACAGGAGGGAATGTGGGAAATTGGCAGAGAAGGAAAGTCAATCACATACTTTCTCTGCTTCTCTGAGCTAGCAGGCTTTCACCCTAGCTTCTGGCTCCCAAACCTTATGAGTAAAATCAAGCAATTAAGATTTTGATAAAATCAACTCTGTTGGAGGAGGGTACTTGTTTGTTCCTGGCTGCTTGGCTAGCTTAGACCTGAAATAATCACACAGAAACTGTATTAATTAAATCACTGCTTGGCCCATTAGCTCTGGCTTCTTATTGGCTAACTCTTATATTAGTTTAACCCATTTCTATTAATCTGTGTATCACCATGTGGCTGTGGCTTACTGGCTAAAGTTTCCAGCAGCGGCTCCATGGCTTCTCTCTGACTCCGCCCTTCTTCCTCCCAGCATAAAGCATACCTTTCCTCACCTAGTTCTGTTCTTCCTTTACATAGGCTCAAAGCAGTTCTTTATTCATTAACCAATAAAAGCAAAGCATAGACAGAAGTACCTCCCACACCACAACTCTTAATGGAGTTCAACTTTATCTTTGTGCAATTCTATTAACTAACTTGCAAAGCCTTTTAAGCTAGGTTAATAAGTTTGCTTTTAAAATGTTAAATAGAAGAGAGGCAGGCGAATCTCTGTGAGTTTGAGGCCAGTCTGGTCTACAAGAACTATTTCCAGGATAGGCTCCAAAAACTACAGAGAAAACTTGTCTTGAAAAACAAAAGAAGAAGAAGAAGAAGAAGAAGAAGAAGAAGAAGAAGAAAAGTAAAAGAAACAAAAATGGAGACACAGATACTTGTATGCCAAACATCAATACAGCATTATTCATGCAAGCTGAAAGGAGTAAATAATCAAATGCCCCTCCTCAAATGATTGGATCAACAAATATGGCATATTTATATGATTAAATACTACTCAGTAATAAAAATATGATGGTGTTATACATATTACAGCAAAGATGAACCTTGAAAACAGACTAAGCAAAAGACACCAGAATAAACTTTAAATATTTTATTAGTCTATTGAACAAAATAACTATAAGAGACAAATTCATAGACAAGAAATATAATGGATTTAAGGTTACAGGAGCTGGGGATGAAAAGAAAGTAAAATTAGTTACAGAGCTTTCTCTGAGGATAATAAATTTTTTTTTGAATTAGTGGTGATCAATACACATGTATTCAATGTCACTGAGTGGAACACTTAAAATCAATTAGAGGGTAAATTTTATATATATATATATTTTACCACAACTTAACAACCTTGAGGGAATAAGAAAAGCCACCAAAAGATTTGAGACAAGGGTACAGAGCATAGCATGGTTTAACTTGGGTTTTGCAAAGACCATTTTAGTCACGGTATTGGTTGAAGAAGACTGGATGAAACCTCTGCTGGACATGAAGACACAAATAAGATTGCTGGACAAACGGGCAGAAGCAGACAGATACAAGCCAAACAAAATCTGGATCTGAGATTGGTGTAAGAAGGGAGGTATCCTGTAAAGTAAAAGACATGGTCAACAAGACAAAACAGCAGCCTACAGAATGGGAAAAGATCTTCACCAAACCCACATCAGAAAGAGGGCTGATCTCCAAAATATACAAAGAACTCAAGAAACTGGTCATCTAAAGAACAAATAATCCAATTTTTAAAATGGGGTACAAAGGTAGAGAGATGGCTCAGCAGTTAAAGAGCATTGCCTGCTCTTCCAAAGGTCCTGAGTTCACTTCCTAGCAACCATATGATGGCTCACATGAGATCTGGTGCCATCTTCTGGCCTTCAGGTATATATGAAGACAGAATATTATATACATAATAAATAAATATTAAAAAATATAAATAAAAATGGGGTACAGATCTAAACAGAAATCTATAATGGTAAAAGACACTTAAGGAAATGTTCAATATCCTTAGTTATCAGAGAAATGCAAATCAAAACAACTCTGAGATTCCATCTTATACCTGTAAGAATGGCCAAGATCAAAAACACTGATGACAATTTATGCTGGAGAGGTTGTGGGGTAAAGGGAACACTCCTGCATTGTTGGTAGGAATGCAAACTGGTACAGCCCCTATGGATATCAGTATGGCAATGTCTCAGAAAATTAGGAAACAACCTACCTCAAGACCCAGCAATACCACTTTTGGGTATACATCCAAAGGATGCTCAATTGTGCCACGAAGACATGTGCTCAACTATGTTCATAGCAGCATTATTTTTCATAGCCAAAACCTGGAAATAACCTAAATGCTCCTCCATCGAAGAATGGACAAGAAAAATATCATACATTTACCCAATGGAGTACTACACCACAGAAAAAAATGATGACATATTGAAGTTTGCAAGCAAATGAATGGATCTAGAAAACATCATATTGAGTGAGGTAACCCAGACCCAGAAAGAAAAATATCGTGTGTATATACTCACTCATAAGTGGCTTTTAGACATAAAGCAAAGAAAAACCAGCCTACAATTCACAATTCCAGAAAATTTAGACAACAAAGAGGACCCTAAAAGAGACATACATGGGTTTAATCTACATGGGAAGTAGAAAAGACAAGATCTCCTGAGTAAATTGGGAGCATAGGGACCTTGGGAGAGGGTAGAAGGGGAGGGAAAAGAAAGGGGGGGAGCAGAGAAAAAATATATAGCTCAATAAAAACAATTTTTTAAAAAAAAGAAGGGAGGGGGGACGGTGCTTAGAGGCACTCAGGATGGTCCAGCATTTGACATACCGTCGTAGGCTCTCCTACAACACAGCCTCCAACAAAACTAGGCTGTCTCGAACCCCTGGCAACAGGATTGTTTACCTTTACACCAAGAAGGTTGGAAAAGCACCTAAATCAGCGTGCGGTGTGTGCCCAGGCCGACTCCGAGGGGTTCGTACTGTGAGACCGAAAGTCCTCATGAGATTGTCGAAGACAAAGAAGCATGTCAGCCGGGCCTATGGTGGCTCCATGTGTGCCAAGTGTGTCCGTGACAGGATCAAGCGGGCTTTCCTTATTGAGGAGCAGAAAATTGTTGTGAAAGTGTTGAAGGCACAAGCACAGAGTCAGAAAGCGAAATAAACGTGCGGCTTTTTTAATAAAGGTCAAGGCTTGGTCTGTGAAAAAAAAAAAAAAAGAAGGGAGGTCATAGGATGTAATTTTGATGATGAATTCTGGAACAGATTCAGATCTGGGTAGGACAAAGTTTGAGTCATTTGACGCCCAGAAACTGAGGTAATGTTTGCAACAGGGGCCACTGCTCAAGAAAAGGTATGGAATAGGAACATAAAGCAAAGACTCAAGCCTCTTTTATAAGACTTTGATCTTGTTGAGGCCACGGGACTTGCTTGTCTACACAAGTTAGGAAGAAAAATACAGGAGTGTAGATAATCAAGGGACAAACTGTTTGGCATCATTGAGAATTTTTGTGGATCTAAAATTATGATTTTATAGAGATATAAAAAGACGGAGACAAATGCAGCCCAGGATTGCCACAGTATGTGACTTGAAGGAACAGGATAGAGCCAGCCTGGCAAGTTTGTCAGTCAGGGGGAGATGCAGTAAGGTTATGCCAGGAGGGAGGTAAAAAAAAAAGCTATAGTGATCAGCTGGAGACTTAAAAGGCTCAGTAAATATAGATCTAAAGAAGGTGAGTGTGTGACAATAGTCTTACACGATTGTACAGCACCACCCTGGGGCATTCTAAACCACCACTTCAAGTTCACAGAAGACTGGTATGTAACCCTCACCTGTGAAGCAGCCTGGATGTCCAGCAGGACTCCAGCACCCCTGGCGAATCTTTGTTCCGAGAGCCAGCCACCATGCCTAACTCTGAGCTAACAACCTCTCCAATCTGCAGAACACTTGTGCTGCTCCCTGTAGGTGGGACCACCTGGCCTCTGCAAAGAGCCATTTAAAAACCCAGAGCCAGCCATGATCCCCACAGAGTTGGCTAATGGAAATGGAGAGTGTTCAGAGGGGAGCACCTCCTGGGATGCAGAGCTCTGTGAATCCCTTTCCGGCACAGGATGAATCATCATCATCATCATCATCATCCATTCCTCCTCCCGAGTCTGGTTCGGTTTACACTCCAGGTCACTATGGGAACCTGGCAGAAATGGATGTCTGGCTCTCTGTATCAGACTTAGCTTCTCTCACACACATACATCCTTCAATGATGGCACTTGTGGTGGAAAAACCATATGAAAAAGGAAGGGAGGAAGGAAGGAAGAAAGGAAGGAAGGAAGGAAGGAAGGAAGGAAGGAAGGAAGGAAGGAAGGAAGGAAGGAAGGAAGGGAAGATGAGAGGCAGGCAATCTCCTACTGAAGGCAGTGTGAAATTTATAGCACTGATACTTTTCTTGAGTCAATTTAACAGTATAGTAGCCTGTCCTTAGAACTTGTATCTTTAGGAAATGGACATACTGTAAACAAGATTTGTACATAGATTTTTCATTTTGGATGATCTAAAATAGGAACAAATTGAAAAACCCTTAATGTCCAGCAATTACAGACTGGTTAGGTGAATTATGCTATCATCATGCATCAAGATATTACTCATCAAAGATACTTTATATTAATTACTACCTATTAATGTTTAATGGTTGATATTCTGATATTAAGAAAAACAGAGGAAACAGTATAGAGAGAGTAATCAAGCCATTTATCTGTGCAGAGCACTGAATAGGCACTTAGCAAGATATATAATAGTTATCTTTAGAGTGTGCAGGATAGTAAGTGATCTTAAATTTCCATCTGTGTGTTACGACATTTCTGCCAGGAATATATAGCTACTTAGTCACTGTAAATAAGTAAGCATATAATTAATTAGAAAGAATAAAAAGCAAGACAACAAAAACAGGAGGGTAAATTGCAAATTATGATCAAATTATTTACTGATATGGTAACTCAGAATTATGTTCACTCTGCCCTGCCTGCCCACATAATCCTTGCCTTTTTCCCTCCCCAAAGTCATCCCCAGCTTAAGAAGATTAAGTATATGGAAGCATCTTTTATATTTGCCATAAGGCAAACTGGCTGGACCGGAGCATGCACAAACCATCTTTGCTCATGAGTCTCAAACTGTTCTGAGCATGGCCCCTGTCCTATTCTGCCTACTATGTCCAAGTGTGAGGCCAACCTGGGGCAGCAAAGATTGTCAGCTGGTGCCCTGGGCTATGTCGCCTGGCTGAGTGGCTAGGCAACTTGAAGAGGTAACAGGAAACAGATGGCCAGCCCAGTCCCCTCTTTGGCTAGTCTATGAGGGCCATCTGTAGAAAAGGAAATTGGTCCGCCGCCCAGAGAGGAAGGTCCTGCGAGGAAGTCCAATCCTCACATTTTTCACTGTGCAGTGCCCAGGGAGAAACTGAGGAAGACCTTCAGGAATTGACGAGAAACAAAGGAAGCATCACAGATCACAGCACATAAAGTACCATTCTCAGAGGGAATAGTGTTTGGGGGTCAGAAACCCCCAGGATGTCAACCCCCTGTGACTCACAGTGCCTGGAGAACGTTTCAGTTGGGCCTTAAGAAGTTAATATCTTCCAGGCTGTGGTCCGTTTCAGCTTCCCCAGCAACATTCCATGCGGCTGAGTCCACAGTCCGTTCTGCAAGGAAATTCTCTCTGCTAGGGCCACATGTCTTTACATATTTTCCGTTTGTAAGTCAAATTCTGCTTGTCCAAATGGAGGTTATAAACCCTAGTTCTCTCAGTGTAGGGGGAGTCTTGGTTCTCAGAGTTAAAAATTGCAAATAAAGCTGTTCCTTGGGCTGGAGAGATGGCTCAGAGGTTAAGGGCATTGTCTGCTCTTCCAAAGGTCCTGAGTTCATTTCCCAGCAACCACATGGTGGCTCACAACCATCTGTAATGGGGTCTGGTGCCCTCTTCTGGCCTGCAGGCATACACACAGACAGAATATTGTATACATAATAAAGAAATAAATAATTAAAAAAAAAAAGCTGTTCCTAGTGAACGTGAAGGGGAAAAATGAAAGGAAAAACGAGATGAGAAGCTGCTGCCCCTTCTGAACGCTACTGCATTCCTTGTGTTGTCCCGCAGTTGAGGAGCCTAAGAATCTATACACAGTTAGTGGTTGCTAGAGGAAAGAGAGACATTTTCTTCAGTGGTGTGGCCATGGGGAGATTCCCAGTCTTGAAATAGCAGCCGCATTTATGCTCCAGTAAATAATTCTAATGAAATGCATCGGGTCATCAAGACAAGACATGAAAGTGGAAGAGAGATTTCGAAAGAGGAAGGGGATCAGTGGGTATAGGAGGGCGATGAGGGTAACGGCAGGTGGAAACGCTCAGAGTACATTCCACACATGTCTGAATGTGTCATAATGAAGCCCATCCTCATCTAATCATAAATAATTAGTATATGCTGATGACATAAACAATGAGCTGGGGCTAGCCCTCAGGGGTAGAGTGCTTGTCTAGGATGTGTGTTCAATTCCCAGCACTGAAAACAAAATCATAAGAAGAAAGCAAGTCATGTACTGAGGGTAGAAAGACAGAAAGATGGGGCCTCTGGGCACTGACGACTGTGGGATTATCACAGCTACTTCTTAGATGTCTTTAAAGTACGAGATGTTTAAATTTGCATCTTATATAAGACGCTGATAACTTTTTCCTGTACACAGATTCTGACATGGAGACTTGGAAGCCATGCTGTGGCTGAGAAATGAAGAAAATGCCATAATGCTAGGCTGAAATTGTTAAAGGGTATAGTATAAACAAATAGGCTAATAAATAAATATAGCTCTTTTGTAAACAAATAGATGATTGATTACCAAGAGACTTGGATGTCATTATCAAGAAGGACACTTCTTTTTTTAAATCATGGAGAGGTGAATTAAAAAAGGAAACAAGGCTAGAAATGGCTCAGCCATCAACAACGATTGCTGCTCTTCCAAGGGATCCAAGTTCAGTTCCCAGCTCCTGTATTAGATGGATCACAACTCCCTGTAATTCCAGTTCTATGGGGATCTGATGCCTCCAGCCTATAAGAGCACCCGCACTCATGAAACCTACAAGCGTGCACATACACACAATTTAAAAACTTAAAAATGAATCTTAGAGGGCTGGAAAGATGGCTCAGTGGCTAAGAGCTTTGCTTGTTCTTCCAAAGGTCCTGAGTTCAATTCCCAGCAACCACATGGTGGCTCACAACCATCTGTAATGAGATTTGGTGCCCTCTTCTGGCCTGCAAGGACACATGCAAGCAGAACACCCTGTATATATAATAAATAAATTAAATTAAAAAAAAATCTTAGAGAAAGGATAGGAGGGAAGGAAAACAGGATTAGAAAGATGGTTCATAATTTAAAAGCACTTACTTCTCTTCCAGAGGTCCTTGGCTCAGTCCCCAGCACTCATAACTGCTCATACCTGTAACTTCATCTCCTCATGCTTTTCTGGCCTCACAAGCATGCACACACAAGAAACACACTCACACAGACACACACACACACAAGTAAAAATAATAAAAGTGAACCTTTCTTTAAACGGAGAGAGAGAGAATAGGAAATCACTTAGAAAACTGTTGCTAGAACACCGGTGAACTGTAGGGAATGCATAGACAACAGAGCCCATAAGGCTGAAGAAGCATCAAGAGTTAAGAGATTATTTTAAGTTATTCCAAATATACTTGTCCTCCTTATGGATAAGGACGATGGAGCTCATGGCTCCAGCTGGAGTGAATGGCCTTAGCACCAGCTAAAGCAGGGTATGTAGGAGAAATGGGTCAGGAGGCAGATCCTGCTGCAGCTGTGCCGATAGCTATCTTGTAACCCTAGGGTAGTTACTTCACCTGCCTAGGTCTCTCCTGCTACTGGAGTAAACACTGCTTTCTTTTTAAAATGTATCTCACCTGCTCACAAAACAGTTGAATTTTGAAGTGGCATCTCAAAGAGCTATTGATTCATCTCCACATGCCAGAATCCAAGCCCTCCCCCCAAGACGTGTGAAGAACTACTCCGCACATTGTTTATTTAAATTTGTGCAACTTTCCCTTTTGTTTCAGAACACAGTTAATGAATCTGTATAATTCAAAGGGGAATGCAGTGAACAGCTTTCTCAGTCTATCGTCTAGAGACTGAAGTTTGCAAGAAAGTATATGAGTTTCA